CTACGTGGGTAGTTCTCTAAATTAAGGGTCCCCCTTCAGATCCCCCAAATAGTACGGCACCCTTATAAACAGGGCCCCCCAAAAGGACCCGAATTTAGAGAACTGCCCACATGTCTTTTGCAATGAGTACTGTATGTCGGGTGCATAAGTACCCTAGACTATGAAGACTCTGGTATGTGCCTGAAGAGACAAGTGCGGGGTTCTGTACTTCAAGAGGGCGATTTTTAATTTGGGCATATGCACATGGGTAGTTCTCTAAATCAGAGTCCCTTTGGGGTCCTTCTTCTGAGGGTCACATCTAAGAGTATTGGGTTTTCTTCGTTGGGATTTTGGGTTAGGGGTGTGGTCCCTAAGCCCTAAACCCTAGGGGTTTGCTAGAGATTTCAGGGTTTTCGGCTTCAGATCAGGCGCAGAGTTGAAGGGGTCTTAGGATTCAATCCTGGCGACGAGAGTTTTGTGACTTCCATTGTGCAGAGCTATCGGGCTTAGGGCATAGGGAAGTCTAGAGTCTACTAGGGTTTAGGGTTTCGGGTTTCGGGCTATCGAGCCTATAGAATGTATGGCATTCCAGGCTCAGGGCTTAGGGTTACGGTGGTTGACTCCCTGAACCCGGAAAAGCCGATCGCAAGGCCAAGAACTCCACAAGCCCTTGCAGTGCACCCCATGCCCGCCACGGTTTAGGTTTTAGGGTTTACTAGCGCACCGCTAGGTATCTCTAGAACCTGCTCTATGCCTAAACCCCTAGAAGTGAAACAAGAATGGCCCAGCACCTATAAGAGGCTGCGATTCCACTTGCTTCTGGGGTCCAGGTACTCTGTCTGGTCTTAACCCTAAACCCTAAACTGTGCGTTTACCGTTTCTTTCTCCTCGTGGGAACTACTAAAGCAAATAGAACTGGTTCAGGGCTTAGGGTGTATGGGGTTTATAGAAATTGCTAAGGGTTTGGGCGCGCTAGTCTTGATCGAAACGTTTCGAGGAAAACGTTTCTTCTTTTGGAGCCTGAACCTAAACCCTAAACCCTAAACTCTAAACCCTAAACCCTAAACCCCAAACCGGGGCTGGCTGGTGGGGGGCTGGATTGGCTGGGCGGGGCTGGGGCTGGGCTTGATGAAGTGGGCGAACTTCTATATATGGCTTTCTTGAAGTTTCTTTAAACTTGGTACAGTTCTCGTTTTGTCCTGAGGGTTTAGGGTGTATAGGGTTTAGGGCTTAGGGATTTCCACCGAAAATACCAAAAGCAACATAAACCCAAATCCTCTACAGCGCTAAACCCTGAAGCCCAAAACCATCCCTGCATCCATCCCTGCCACACACCCTAAACCCTAAAACGCTGAAGCCCTAAAACCATAGAACCCCAAAGCCCTAACCCTAAGCACCCTATGCCTCAACCTGCAACCCAATAAACCCTAGTTAAAGCCCAAACCCTATAACCCTGAACTTTATATACCCTAAACCCTAACCCCCTAAACCCTAAACCCTAAACCCAAACCCCTAAACCTTAAACCCCTAAACACCCCCGTTCTCCTCGGGCCTTGTGCGGGAAGCGGAGGAGCCCCGGGCAACGCGCCAGGAGCGTGGCATGCCCGCAGCAGCAGCCACGCGAGGCGCCTGAAAGAATTTATGAAGGGGTTCATGTAGGATTTTTTAGCGTTTCATAGGGATTTGTAGATCTTTATGGAGGTTTATGTAAGGCCTTTTAGAGCTTCATAGAGGTTTTGTAGATCATCTTTATAGGATGCTGCAGTTTTTGGAGATCCAGGGCTTTAGGGTTCAGGGCTGAAGGATCTTGGGCGAAGAGAGACTTACGGAGTTGGGGCTGTAGGAAAATAGGGGGGTTCCGAAAATAGGGGACCCTAATCTAGTACCCTAAATAGTAGGATCCTTATTATAAGGACCCCCAAACAAGGTACCCCTCATTTTCGGAAACTCCCATATGGTTCTCATGATGGAGAGTTAGGGGTTCAGGGCTGCGCGGCTTCAGGATGTCTCTCGTTCCCGGTTTAGGGTTTAGGGGGTCCCTGTTGGGGGCTATATTAAAAATGGATCATGATTAATCCGTATTGGGTTTCTATCATAAGAAAAATGTAAACAACAAGGACCCAGGTGTCTGTCTGTTCATGTAGGGCTGAGCGTCTAAGAGTTTTATGTTGAGACTTTGGGGCTTTCAAGTTTGGGGGGTCAAGGATTTCGGGCTTGGGGTTGTGGATATGTGGGAGAGCCTGCATAAGACGATGCCCAAAGCATCTAATTGGTGGCTTTTCCTGAACCCTATAGCCCCTTAAACCGATGTGACCTCTGCAGGACAGACAGATAAGGCCCTAAACCCTAAACCCTAAACCCTAAACCCTAAACCCTAAACCCTAAACTTACAAGTCAAGATGAAACTCGATTTCCGTGTACAGTGCGTCACCTACTTTGGATCGTAAAACCCTCGCGGGACCCATGAGTCGGTGCCGGTTGTGTTAGAGTTTAGGGTTTAGGGTTTAGGGTTTAGGGTTTAGGGTTTAGGGTTTAGGGTTTAGGGTTTAGGGTTTAGGGTTTAGGGTTTAGAGTCTCTCCCGAGGTCTGCGCAGTAGATGATCAATGTCTCCATGAAGCTGCGCCTTAGGTGCACAACAGCATCCGGACGGTGCAGCCCAGGACAAAGCACTGCTTTTATCACTCTGGAACTGAAGATATGATGCTTCCGGCATCTTCCCCCTAGACCTCAAACCCAAGTGCAGGCTAAACCCTAAGCCTGAAGCCCCTAAACCCCTCAACTCTAATCCCTGCACTGAGATCGCTGCGCTGCTGGGACAAGGACCATTTCCTCAGCTGCAGATCTGCTTTGGGGTTTAGGGGCTCGGGTTTAGGGTTTAGGGTTTAGGGTTTTGGGTTTAGGGTTTAGGGTTTAGGGCTCGGGTTTAGGGTTTAGGGGCTTACCCTGCTCTCCTTACAGAGTGCGCTTAACAGCACATCCGGACCTCGATCTCTCAACAAAAACCAGGGATCAGGGTATACATGCCATCAAGCAGAACGCAAAGATTGGTATAGATTTAACTTGCGCGGTCATCCGGCCCTTCAACGTGCTGAGGGATACCTATCTGCTGCAAAGGACCTATTCTAGGGCCTGCATAATTCTCAGAAAGATTTACCCCTGCATCTATCCCTAAACCCTAAACCCCAAAAACCCTAAAGCCGGAGACCGCCAGGGCCAAGCCTTCAACTCGACTCTGAGTATGTGTCAGAAAATCAGGGACCATAGGGTTTAGGGTTTAGGGTTTAGGGTTTATAGGGTTTATGGGGTTTATAGGATTTATAGGGTTTATAGGGTTTATAGGGTTTATAGGGTTTAGGGTTTAGTCTTTAACAAGCTTTAACAAGACCCCGCAAACAACTATAGGGGCCTGAATCGTTGGGGAACAGACTATTTCGGTGCAGTTGCTATAATAACAGGGGAACCTAAGGAAGGGCATCGCTAATTAACTGTTCAGGCTTGGGTTTAGGGCTTCAGCGTTTAGGATGCAGGTTAGTTGTATGCTAGCAAAACAGTACGCAAAGGGTCCAAGTACCAAATAATCGGGCTTTTGGCCACAAGTTCCATACTCTGAACGGATTTTGGCACCTGAAACCCTAGTGTTGTTGGCTTTAGGATTTAGGTTTAGGGTTTAATGGATTACGGGCACCCAAAACCCTAGTATACTTGGGTACTTGGACTCTTAGGGATACATAGAAGCCCCAAAATTGGAAACCCGATAGCTTCAATCCTTAAGAGCAATGCATTGGCAATCCCAGCACCATTTGACCCAACTTTTTGGGGTTTACCCTAAACCCTAAACCCTATAAACCCCTAAACCCTAAACCCCTAAACCCCTAAACCCTAAACCCCTAAACCCTAAACCCTAAACCCCTAAACCCTAAACCCTACACAGGACAAGGAGCTGCGAGCAAGGACCAAAGAAAGGCAGCCAAAGCCATGGCTGCGCCTCGCGAAGAACCGCGCAAGCATTCCGAGCAAGCTGTGAGCGAATGTGTGTGTGTGTATATATATATATATATTTGTACATATATATATATACATATATACATATAAATATATATATATATATATATGTTTATATCAGTATAATAGTATGTAAGTATACACATAGAAAAATAAAAAGGTGTGTATTATATGCATATCTAGATTTATGCACATAGTTGTTCATCAAGTTGTTTATTTCTTCATCTCTGTTTGTTTATTGGCACGCCCGTACATGTAGATAAGTTCTTACGACAAACAAGCATAGATCTGTGCAAAGGTTCTTTTGTACATAGACTGGCATGTGTGTATGCCTGGAAAATACTTGTTGATGCACGTAGTCTGGCCCACCACAGTCTTGCCTCAGTACACGTGCATGCAGGCACGTACCTACATGTACCAAAACACACATCCTGGTGCATATCTGCTGATATGACCCCTAGACTCCCAACCCTAAACCCTAAACCCCTAAAGCCCTAACACTAAACCCTAAACCCTAAAGCCTCACTGCATGAAACAGGATCACTGCAGACAGGCTGTGCCATGCAGCTGAGCTGATGGACGCGGCTGCGGTCGCAACGCTGCCAAGACAGCCCTCGGATGTCGGTACCGGGATCCGGCTCGTCGGACGTAGTTTCAACAGGATACAAGGTCATACTGAGTACTAATAATTTGAATAGGTTTTGGGGGAAACTATACTATAGCTATAATAAGGAACCCCCAGAATTATACATGTAATTATCTAGGCCCTATGTTAGTTACAATTACAACAGGATACAAGGTCATACTGGGTAAAGGGTTTAGGGAAACCTGGCCCAAAATGAATCACAAAAATAAACCTTTTGTGTACGGACCCACAAAATCTTTGCCGGGTAATGGCTGACAAGATTTTGAGCCTTAATTGGTTGAGGCTTGTGCAGCTCAACAAAAGAAACCTGAACATTTCGCCACACTCTTCCTCAGGGTCTCTTTTCATATCTCTATTCTGTGATTAGTGTAACCCCCAAAGCCCTACACCATAGGGTTAAGTCATTCCAGCTCTTCAGCCGGGGTGCGCCAGACAGCCCGTCCCCAAGGCAAGGAAAAGGGCGAAACCCTCCTGGGGGGCCATTGCTTGTGCATAGGGTTTAAGGTCTGGGTTTGGGGCGGAGGGGTCGGAATGATTAGTAACCGTTTCCCTGTAAAGTCTCTGTATAACACTACTGGTATCATGTACCTTCTGGCCAATATTGGTCAATTGCAGGGACAGTGAACTTGAACCACTGCAACACCTTATAAACGTGCACCCGGAACCGAAAGTCATATGAGCCTTCAGCGCTGAAACCCCAAGCGCCAAAGCCAACACGCGAGACACGTGACCCTGATAAGCCCTACCTTGAACACATACCTTATCAGTCCCTGCACCCCGTATGTCAAACCCTAAACCCTAAACCCTAAACCCTAAACCCTAAACCCTAAACCGTTTATCATTTCTTCAAAAAACCTTGTTAAACCATATAAATCACGAATCAAGCCTTAACCCGGAGACTGAAACCTTGGTGAAGCCTTGAACTCCCAACCTGTAGCGTTATAAAGCGTTATAAAGATTTATAAAGCATAAACCCAGAGGGTCCACATATACTACCATTATGGAATTAGGTCCCAAAAGGCCATCCTTATTATGGTTTTGGGGACCTAATTCCATAATGGCAGT